GGGTGCCACTCCACAGTGGGCTCTTGCTATTCAAGGCACGTTTGGGTCAGGACCTAAGCAGCTTGAGGAAGGACAGTGAAGAGGAGTGGCTAAGGCTGCGCCTATCCCGGCCCAGGGAGAGCTTATGAAATGTTCCAGAGGATTTGAAATAACTCACTTCTTCACAGAAGAGCACCCCGACGTTCCTGCACAGTGTTGCTGAACGTCATGTGCACTCTCAGTTAAAGCAGTAAACAGCTGGATTCAGACACAGCTTAACCGTCCTGGGGACAGACCTGTGTCCTCACCCGCCTCCGTGTGACCCTGGTCTGGGCGGGAGGTGGCCTGGGGCTGAGCAGAGCCTGCTGGTGTGGGCGCCTTTTCTGCCTCCTACTGCAGCCACGATTCCCCTGGGTGGCTGTTTCAGGGTGGGTGTCTTTTCCTGATCTCCACTTGGCCCAAGGTGGACAGGTCTGCTGAGACCTGAGGCTGGTGTGGACCTGTATTCCCGTGGTCAGGGCTCAGGGCTGCCTCTCCTCTGCAGGGACGCAGCCCTCCCGGTCGTCAGAGAGCAGCGGAATCGCCTCTGCGACCTCCTCGGTGTGCCCAGACCCCAGCTCGTCTCCAAGGTAAGCCTCTCTCACCTCCCACCACCTGGGGGACGCAGCACTGTGCTGCCCGCCACCCGGAGCCCTCAACTCCGGGGTGTTCAAGTCTTCCAGTCAGGGTCAGCTTGCCTTGGGTGGCGTGTCCACGCGGCCCACCCCGCCTGGTCCTACTGACGTGCTGCAGTGGCCTGCTCCTCTCCCACGGGCAGGTCCTGTGTCCTCGTCCAGTCTGAGCCCCACAGGCCTGCTGTGGTGGTGCCAGGTCTCACGACTCGCAGGGACGGGTCCCTTCTTCTCACAGAGCCTTCTGTGGGGGCCGCCTCCCTGGACGTCGGCCCTTCTGGGGTGTCTCGGGCCCCTCCTGGCTCTGCAGTGCTGCCCTGGGCCGCACAACCTCGCTCCTGCTCGCTGTGCTCCCCGGCCTGCTGTGGTGCGGCTCCAGGCTCTGCTCCCTGGGGCAGCGGGGCCATGGGCGGTTCCAGGAGGCCCCAGGATCATAAGTTCAAGACCGGCCTGGGAACTTAGAGAGACCCTGTCCTGGAATAAACCCTAAAAACGGCTGAGGATACGGCTGGTGGTGAAGCAGCCCAGGGCTCAGAAAGCCCAGACCTCTTCGATGCCCTTTCCCAGCCGCGAGGCTGTCTGGCTGGGGGGCTGGGGGGCTGGGGGGCTGGGGGGCTGGGGTGAGGTCGGCCCTGGCCTGCAGCCTGCGTCTCGCTGTTGCTGGGCGCGGCTCGGCTGCTGTGTCCCCTGCTCTGGGATCTCTGCGTGGACGGTCCTTCCCACTGCCTCACCCACGTGTGGCTTTCACCCTGGCATCTTCTGCTTCTAGTTCCCTTGGCCCGCTGCCTGCTCTCCCCCCCAGCCTGACCACCGTGTCCCTGGGCGTCCCGTCTGTGCACACTCTGCCATGCCTGTGGGTCTCCTGAGCAGGCCACGCCTCTGCAGCTGGCGCTGTCCTGTGTTTCCATTCTTGACTTGGGCTGCACGTGCTCCCGGGGGCCCTTGGTCTCTGTGGACTCTCCCTCCCCTGCCAGAGCCGGGGGGCAGCTCCTCCAGACCTTCATGCTGCCGACCTGGCAGCTCCCATGAAGAGCAGGGGTGGGACCCCCAGGCTGAGACCGATCCCCACCCCAGCGCACGCCTAGCCTCAGCAGTGGGTGCAGGCGCAGAGCTGGTCTCGGCCAGGGCTCTGTGCGCCCCCCACGGCAGCTCCAGGCCGTCACCTCAGGTCGCTGACGGCCGAGCACAGCGACGTGCTTTCAACCGAGCAGAAGGAGCGAGCCTGTGAGCCGGGCGCCTCCACGTGCTGTCTCAGGCCTTCGCTGTCGAGTGTTGTGCGAGCTCCGTGGCCCTGCCACTCCTGACTTTGTCAGCCTGTGTGACCAGGCGTGTCCTTACGGAACCTTGACTTGTGAGGTCCACTACCCCTCGTTGTGCAGCCTCCATGTTCTTCATGTGAACAGACAGTACACGCTCTTCCTCTTCCAGTCCAGCTTAGGCGTACCAGCTCAGTCCCGCGGTCCGCCCGCCATCTTGGTTTTCCGTTGGACCCTCTGATCTGATGTCTCTCCTCTTGTCTGCGGACCCCCGTGCCAACCTGCACGGCCTCCAGCTCTTCTGTCTGTGCTCAGCCTGGAGACTGGACTCTCCCGACGCGTTGCAGGCTGAGGGGTCACCTGGGTTGTGGCCTTGGCATGCTGCCACCTGACCTGTCTTGTGGCCTCTCTGGACTCGGGTCTCCAGCTGCACAGGACCCTGCTTGGTGTTGGCCGCCCTGGCCGCCAGGCCCTCTCAGCCTCCCTGCTTCCTTCTCAGTGGCCTGTCTCTCCCACCACACTGGTGTTCTCGGTGTTCCTTGTGGGCACTTGTCCCCCATAAGATCATCTTCCTCCCCTTCCTTCCCCGCTCGGGGCCCAAGCGGGAGCACTCTCAGGCACGTAGTGCCACACAGCCTGGCCTCCAAGTGGGCCTCGCAGGTACACAGGCCGTGCTGTGGCTGGTGCCTCCTGCCTTCTCGTGTGCCAGGGCTGAGCCCAGTGCCAGCCTTCTGTGTCGAATGTGCCCTGCCGTTCCCTTCATGCACACGTCAGCCTGGCAGCTGCCTCGCTGTGGTGGCAAGGCCATAGCAGCTGTCCTCCAGGGCTCAGGCTCCGGGTCTGGGGAAGTGGCACAGAGAATCTTCCGGTGGGAACCCAGCACAGGAAGTGTCTCCTGCCACCTGTTTTTGTCCCCCAGAGGCCCAGGGTGGACAGGGAGAGGGGGCTGGACAGCCTGACACGGTGTGTCTCTCCTGCAGCCCGGTGCCTGTTGAACCAGTCCTGAGAGCCCTTGGGGCTGTGCAGTGGGGAGGAGCTGCCCATCCACCGAGGGACGGCACCTGGGTCGCTGAAGCCGTCACCAGGTGTGCTCTTCACGTGCGGCTGTGCCGGTGGCCTGGCTGCCTGCTTCTGCCTCCATGGAACAAGCCTGCTTCCCTCCCATAAAATCACGTACCAAGCCACTCCCTGTCTGTCTGTCTGTCTGTCTCTGGAAACGGGGGTTGTGGCTCCACCCACAGGAGCTCCCGTGCACTCTGGAGACGGGGCTGTGGCTGCGGCTGCACCCCAGAGGCTCCCCTGCACTCTGGAGACGGGGCTGTGGTTGGGGCTGCACCCCAGACGCTCCGTGCACTCTGGAGACGGGGGCTGTGGCTGTGGCTGCACCCCAGAGGCTCCCCTGCACTCTGGAGACGGGGCTGCGGCTGCACCCCAGAGGCTCCCCTGCACTCTGGAGACGGGGCTGCGGCTGCACCCCAGAGGCTCCCGTGCTCAGATGCTCGGGTGCAAGTGGCTGGCGAGTGGGGCCAACACTGCAGGCGGCAGGAGGCTGAGACTGGATGGGGTGGTGGGAGCAGAGTTGGAGGCACCCCACGTCAGGGTCGAGGCCTCCAGGAGCCCAGTTGCACCAGGCCACCTGTGTTGGTGTTGCTGTTTGCCACCGGACCTGTGGGTGGGGAGCTCCATGTCCTTACGCTCTAGCCAGTGGGCCACCTGCTGCCCGCTGGGCTCCGGCTTTTACTCCTTCCCCACCTGACAGGTGCCTCCCTCCTCCTGCTCTGGGGATTTCCGTCCTGGACAAGGCCAGTCAAGGTCCCAGGAGCTGCACCCGTAAGGCCCTGCCATCCCGCCAGACAGAGCACACCGCCCAAGGGGACAGTGACACACTGAAGCCCAGAGACAGTCACTTGCCCTTGGACCCATCAAAGACACGGCAGTTCCTTCTAGTCTGACTCTGCCACCCAAGGAAAGGCCATCACCCTGGCTAGCCAGCTCTGCTGTCCCAGACCCCAAGGCCCAGGCACTTATCCTCACCAGAGGCCTGGGGTCCCCTCCCCTGTGCAGCAGCAGTTTCTGGAGCCTTCCTGGGTCCAGGACACCCTCCTGCCATCCTCATGACAGCCATGTGGCCAGTGTCCAGTGGAGTGGGCAGTGGGCAGCATGCTGGTGTCTCAGGGAAGGGGATCAGGAGGGCCTCTCCACAGGGCATAGGTGAGCAGGAGTCACATGGACAGGTCCAGTGCAGAGAGGAGCTCGTGCCTGACTCAGGTGGGGCCAGCGGCACCCGCCTGTTCCAGCCAGAGAGCAACCGGATGCCAGGGCTCCTGCCGAGGTGTCCACTGTGAGGTTTGGTTTTGACAGGTGAGGGGACGGATTTGAGGCCCTGGGCCAGACAAGCCCCGTCCCCAGCTGTAGGTGGACACAGCGGGGTCTTCAGAGGAGCGCAGTGCCTGTGGTGGAGGGTGCACCCTCCCTGTGGGGCCCTGCCCACCCGAGCTCCTCGCTGGACTGGGAAGCCGGCCGACCTCCTAAGCAGTGCTCCTGGGGCAGAGGGTGCACGCAGACCTCCCGAGCAGGCCGAGGGCCACAGAGAAGGGTGGGCAGGAGACCAGGGGGTCACTGGCTGCTCTCGCAGGGTAGAGGCAGAAGCCTGGTGCGGCTGCCAGGCCGAGGCTGAGCGGGCCGCTGGAGAAGCCAGGCAGGGATCGAGGCCAGCGATGGAGACAGGCCTCGGGAAGGGCTCTGAGAAGTGAAGGCCAGCACTCTCGGGCGGGTTAAGCAACCAGTTGGATGCAGCTGGGAGACCTGCCCAGCTGGGACTGGGATGTGTGTCCATCTGTGTGATGGGGTCTCAGGAGGCAATGCAGGGTTTCATCCTCCGAGGGATGGAGTCAGATGTGGTGCATGGAGCTGAGACGCTGTGGGGAGACCATGAGGCCACCCCGGGTCTGAGCAGTGACACTACACCTGTGGAACAGGGGTCTGCAGCAAGCCAAGGGCACAGTGCGGCTTGTTCACGGAGATAGGAGGTTTGTGCAGGGTACACCAGGGGTGGTGGTTTCTAAATGTGAAGAATGAAATCCACAGACTCAGGTGAGGGCAAAGTAACAGGGTTTATTAGAGCCACACGGAGAAAGCAGGGGTCCTGGAGAGTGCTGGGGGCCAGGGTGTGTGTGCGTCTTCAGGGTCAGGGGAGCTGGCCCCCAGCCCAGCCCTGCTAAGGCCCTCGGTGTCCACCTGCCTGCCCGCGCTCTCTGGCCCGGTCAGGTCGCCATGCCCCCTTTTGAGTCATGGGGGTCGGCCTGAGCTTGGTGAGGCCTGGCTCAAGTCTAGTTTCCAGCTGCTGCACAGAGACGTGCCCTGGGGGCCCAGCTTCCTGCCTGCCCACTCCAGCCCTGTCTCCCACCTCAGCAGTGTGCTGGAGGCCCCTGGTGACATGGCTCTGCCTCCTGGTACCTGCCCCCAGCTGCAGGTCAGCTCAAGGCACGGAACCATCTCAGGTGCACAGAGCACCCTGTGCCGACACGGGGCGCGTGTGAGTGAGCACTGGGCCAATGTGGACGCACAGCAGCGGAGTGCCAGGCTGGCTGCCAGGAGAGGCCGTGGGGAGGTGGCCGGTGTGCTGCAGCGGAGGGAGCAGGCACAGGACACACAGCACCAGCGCAGGGAAGGCCGGGGTGGTGACATGCTGGTGGGAGCCCAGGCCTGCCCTGAGGGTGCAGGAAAGGCAGGCAGAGCCCCGGGGGGCACAGAGAGCCAGGCCAGTGCTGCTGACCCGTGCCCCTGATGGGCCACAGTCCAGTGTCCACTTGTGTCCCAGAGTGCCTGGCTGCAGTGAGGGTGAGGATGAGCTGTGGGGGCATGGGAGTGAGCAGAGGCTGGCCTGGTGGACGTGCGAGGGCTCCGGCCTCAGACACAGGAGGGCGCAGGCACAACGGAGACTCGCTCAGTGACGCCCGACACATCAGCCAGTGCTGGACGGGTCCCCGGTGTCCCTGAGGGCCTCTGAGGCCTGGAGTCCATCAGAAGGCAGGCTGGACGTCAGCAGCCAGGGGCAATGGGGCAACGGGCCAAGGAGGCCGTGACCTGGTCCTGGAGCCCGAGTGGCGCTCCACTCAGACCCCACCAGGGCAGCGGCCACAGCCCTCAGCTGAAATGCACAAAGTCCCGGCCCTCCTGCAGCTGCAGCGACCGGAGGTTCTCTTCAAACTCGCCCCCGGTGAGGTCCTGTGGGGGAGCAGCAGGGTGGCTCAGTCAGGCCCCCCCTGCTTCTTCTAGACCCACCCACTGGGTCTGTGTTGCCTGGACCTGCCTGACAGGTGGTCCACTGTGAACTTCTGCTCCTCTGCTAACGGGTGGGGCTCAAGGGAACCAAGGGCCAGGGAGGGAGCCGCGGCTCTGCAGTGTGCTGGTCCTGCCCATCACCATTAGGGTGAGATTCTCTGGGGTGTCCCTGCCATCTGGTCTGGCCTCGGCCCCTCTCTCTAGTTGCCCCCCAGCGGACTCAGCTGACAGGTGTCCTCCCTGCCCCTAGGCATCCAGACCTGCCTTCCCACGTGACCCCCATCCCAGGAGCGTCACACCCCGAGCCCTTCCTGCTGATGTCCTCTGCCCCAGCCCATCCCAACAACAGGGCAGGGGCCACAACCCCGGGTCCCCCCTCGATGCCTCCCGTTTCAGGCATGGGAGCCCCCACAAGGGCAGCTTGCTGAAGAACCTGTTCCTGTCCTCGGCCTGGTGCAGAGGGCCTGGTGGCCTGCAGTGAGCCAGGGGACCCAATGCCCAGCCTGGTTTCAGAGCCTTCCCCAAGCTGCCTGTGCCTGGCCTGCGGGTCCTCTGCCTGCCACCACTGGGTGTCACCCAGAGAAGCCACCCCATGACCTGGGAGGAACAGCGGGTGCAGCCACTCGCGCAGACCAGTGGGGAGGACCCGGAGTGTCCCGGCTGTTGGTCTGAGGCCAGTGGCAAGCAGACATGGTTCAGGAAGGACACTGGAGTCTGCAAGGCGCCAGGCCCGGGCTCCCTGGCTCGGCCTCCGCCAACACTGAGAGGGCGGCAGAACCCAGGCGGGCAGCAGCAACCTGATGGGCCTCCGCCCTACCGTGAGGCCTGCTCTGCGGGGTGACCCTGCAGTTGTACATGGGAGAGGACTTCCTGCGCAGGACACTCGGCTCCTGAGATGGGCGAGCGCTGGGAAGACTTGCCGCCAGTGGGACGGGGCCTGCCACACATTAGTGTCCCAGTGGCCTGTCTCAGCCCCAGCAGGAAGCTGATACCACTGTGGCACGGGGGGGGGGGGGGGGGGGGGGGGGGGACTGCTGGGGACCTGCCTGGGCCAGGAAATGAGCCCATGTCCTAGACAGGTGTGGGGCCATGCTTAGCTCTGCTGAGCCGACCTTGGACCCAAGAGCAGAGCACGTCCTGTGCCCACACCACAGAGACCCAGATGGCCGGAGCCCTGGCTTGCTGCAGGGAGCGGGCAGCCTGCAGGGAGCGGGCAGCACAGCAGCTCTGTGGGCTCGAGGGCCAGGGTGGCACCCAGCAGGGACTGGCGGCTCCCCAGACGGCCCCCCTGGAGCTGCCCCCAGCCCCAGGGTAGTGACCACAGCCTCCGCCCAGCCTAGAGGTTCAAGACTGCTGGGCAGGCTGGGCTTAAAACGAGGACAGCAGCCCAGCACTCACCAGCTTCACACAGAGGACGAAGGGTGGCCGCGCAGCTCTGAAGTGCAGGACAGGAACACGTGGCTTGGGCCTTTCCTGGAAGGAGACCACAGTCATGCTGGGCACTCAAGGGAAGGGCCCCTGCGGCCTGTGCCAGCCGTGGCCCTCTGCCCAGAGCCACAGCTGGCTCAGCTGACAGATGTGCACCTCGGGCCCTGGGGCAGGACACAGGCTGGGGGCACCCTGGTCCTCGGGGCCCAGTGGAGTCCCTGGAGGAGGGCCCTGGGCCGTCCCTGGGCCCAGGGTGGAGTGGGCTGCCCCTGCCGGCCACGCGCCACACACCTGAGCCTCCTCGTAGCGGTAGAAGCCTTTCCTGATCTTGTTCTCGTCCACGTCGCAGAAGGCCACCACCTGAGGATGAGCATTCTGGGTGGCTCAGGCAGAGCAGGGAGGAGCCGGGGCTGGGGACAAGGGGCTGGGGACAAGGGGCTGGGGAGGCAGCGCCCACCTTGCAGCGGCTGGCAGCCGTGAGGCTGCGGTACAGTCTGCGTCCCTGCTTGCCTGCGTTCCAGATGGTGAAGGACGCCCACTGGGGCAGGGCCCACTCCTCCAGGAAGCAGACACGGTGGGTCCAGATGGTCGTCCTGGGAAGCAGGGGTGGCCAGGGCTGGCTGGGTGCCCTGGGGATGAGCACCTCCTGGCCTGCCCGCCTCCCACAGCCAGAGGCCCTTGGAGCCACCTCGGGCTCACTGCCCTATGGAAGGCTGGGGGCCACCTAGGCCGGCCTGGCCTCTGGGTAGCTCAGCCCACCCCTGTGGTGGCTTCAGGAACTTCAGGACAGTGGACCCCCTGACCCGATCCCATTTCCCAGAAAAGCCGCGGTGCAGAAGGAAACCGTGGCCACACCTGGAAGCTACCTGTGCCTGAGGCCACTTGCCTAGAGAGCAGGAATCTGGGGTTTCCCCGCCTGAATCAGAGTCCCTCCATGGACGCGCAGACCGGGCCGCCAGGCAGAGGCTGCACCCTCGGCCACGTCTCCCCACCTCCCTGGTCCCCGAGCACCTTGGGGCCACACAGCACACTGGCGCTCAGGGCCACCTCAGGACAGCTGTCTGCGGTCACGCCCTGCCCTGGCCCTCGGGCCACTTCCCTGCTGTCGGCTCTCACCCCAGTCAGATCCTTGGGCTGCTCCCCATCTGCTCTGGGCACCTGCCATCCTTTGCCACGTGCTCTCTGGCCTGGCTCCCAGTGCAGCCCCCTCACCCTGTGGCCTCCTCGGCCTTCTCTCAGCCTTTGCGGAACACATACCCCGACGTTCACGCGCGTGAAGGGTGATGTGTGCATCGCCTCTTAACACCCACAAGAAGATGGGAGCCAGAGGACCTGCGACTGCCTGGCTCGAGGCTACCAGGCACTTGGTGACTGGCAGGTGACAAAAGTGAGGAGGCTGTGCAGCCTCTGCTGTTCAAGGAAGACACGGCTCGCTCACGGCAGCCGCCTCAGGGGAGGGGGTGACCTGTCAGCACCACCTGCACCAGCAAGCATAGGTGCAGCCCCCAGAGGACACAGGTGACGGGACCCCAGGCCTTGGTCTTCCCTGGTCTGTGTATGCAGCAGTAGCATAATGCCTGACTCTAGCGTCATACAAAGAAACCCGTCCAGCTCTGGAGGCTGGACGCCAACAGTCAGGCAGGCGCATGCCCAGCATCACATGATCGAGGAGGGCCTGGTGCAGGCCTGAGCTAGCTCCCAGGCACCATGATGAGGCCTGGCCCGTCTCAATGCCGTGGCCAACAGGAGAGACCCACGAGGATGAGCATCGGCTCAGGGCAGCACTGGTTCCCGAGTCGGCACACACTTGACTCCTGACCACGACTCCCGCTGGTCACGGGTGCTGAGTGGCGTGTGTGGAGACCGTTGCTAGTGTGATGCAGGGAGGCTCCAGGAAGCTCTGCGGAGCAGACTCTTCAGCAAGCCCAGGTAGTAATTAAACCCGTGCCCCATGGGCTGCTGCTCACACTCAAAGACTTTAATCCCGCACAGAAACCTGCATTAGGTCACTTATTTTGTGCTGTGGGTGGCCAAGCCTTACGTGGCAAAAACCAGAGTCTTGCACACCAAGGCCTTGCCCTGGGCACAGGATGAGGCCTGGGCAGCCCTGCCCCATGGCGCCTGCGGCTGGGCGTGCAGGCCCCCACCCATGTGTGGGGCCTCACAGACCCACCTCCAAGGCAGCACCACCACCGCCCGTGGCTGTGGGCCCTGTGTGACCGAGTGGTCACATGGGAGTGCTCAGAACCGCCCTGGCTACCCCCATGCGCTGTGGAAGGCACATTCTCCACTCAGATGGGCTCCTGTGTGGACAGGAGGGCTCTTTGCTGGAGCAGCTGCTCTCGGGTGGACAGCGTGTGGTTTTTGAGCAACACGTGTGCACATTCCCCAGCCACCGAGACGGACTGCAGCCCTGCCCCTCTTCTTGGTGGAGGGTGGGTAGGCCCAGGAGGTCTGCTGGGGCCCAGCGTCTCCCCAGCCACCCCGGTCAGCAGCCTGTTTGTTGCTCAGCAGCACACCATCTCAGCAGACCCTGCCATCCTCCCGAAGGCACACGTAGGGACAGTCCCAAAGTGTTCTTGGCTTTTTCTTTTTTTTTGCAGTGAGGGACCCCAGGGCCTGGTAAATGAGGCGGGCACTCCACCCCCAGCCGCATCCCAGTTCAAGTGTTGGCAGCAATGTGCTGGGGAGTGTCCACATCTCCCAGTGGGCCACCACAGGAAGGCGCCGATGCGGTCAGTTATATAGCATCCAGCAGCCCTCCCAAGAGGACACGCCTCCTTACTGCTGAGTGTCCTGGCCAACGCTTGGGGTGGCAGGTGCCAACTCCAGCCTGTCCACAGCCCACCCAGCAGTGCATGTGGTCTGAGGCCGCGACCACTCGGATTGTGCCTGTGGGCTGCCGTGTCTACCGCATACTTGGCTTGTGGGGTTCTCTGCTGGGTGCGCGGACTGGGGGTCTCCTTGCAAGCTTTAGTGTGCCCGTTTATTTTCTTAGTGGTGTCTTGTACTTTTCCATCTCGAAGAGACGTGACTCACTGTGCTGCGCAGGCTGCTCTCGAACTTCTGGACTCAAGTGACCGTCCCACCTGTGCCTCCCAAGAAGCTGGGACTGTAGCTGTGCAGGCTGGCACGCCTAGCGGGTGGCGCTGAGGGTCTCTGTGCACTGGGCACCTGCTCTGCACTGAATGGCACATCAGCTTCTCGGGTCTGTGTGACCCAGAGTGACTTTGATTGTGACGGTGTCCAGCTTGCCCGTTCTTAGACAGTCAGCCGCCCTGCCGTCTCGTGGCGCAGGTCCGCAGCTCCTCCAGCACTGTCTCGATTGCCTGTGATTCCAGGGGTGGGTTCCTCCCTCACAGCGGCACCACGCGCCCCGTGAGCAGACCCCCGTGGGGGGCTGGGTGCCTCCTCGTGGTGGCCAGGCTCACCTGTGCCTGCCCTGCACCTGGCTGACTGCTGCAGCTTCGCCAGGAGCCCTGGCTCTTCTTCTCGAGACTTGGTCAGCCATCCTGGGTCCTGTGCCTTTCCACATGAAGTTCAGAACCTGCCTGGTTCCCAGGAGTGGTGGGCTGCACATGTGCCGGTGCAGAGGAGGTATGGGCTTCGCGCGCCGCCTTTGAGCCCCGTGCACTGCACAGCCTCACTGTCCACCAGTCTGGGCAGACGGGGGCTGGCCTGCCTCCTGAAGCTCTGGTCCTGACGTCCCCGGGGGTGCTAGTCCTACCCACGTGCTAACCTGGCCTCTGTCCTCGGACTGTCCTGCCCTGCAGGCTGAGGTGGTAGCCAGGCCAAATAGCCCTGGCTGCTCGCAGCTCAGCAGGTGAGGGCTCAGACCTGGCCACAGGTGGTCTTGCTGGTTTTATTTCCAGTGGTGACTCTCGGTTGTGCTGACCTGCTCTGGGCTCCTGCTCCACTTGCTGGTGGCTTTGTGCTGTCCCTCGGTGACTCCCTGTTCAGGGGTACTTGCAGCTCACTTTCCTCCTCCGTGAATTAAGCCTTTGAGGCCAAGGTGGCGCTGTGTGCAGGACTCATTGCTTTTAGTTTTTTCTAATTTCCTTTTCATTTTTTCCCTTGGCTGCCTAATTTCCAAATATCTTGGGTTTTCACGAAGTCACAGTGATTGCTAACTGGATTCTGTGTGGTTGCTGGAGACCCAAGTCTGTGTCTTGTCAAAACCTCGTGTTGAAACCCTCTCCAGGTGGCATGGGGACATGGGGCCTCTGGTGGCACTAGGAGCACGTGTCCTCATGACAGTTCCCTAGGAACTGCGGGGAGCCCTCTCCAGACCATGCCTGCCCAGCCATGGAGCCAGAGCAGTGCCAGGCCAACAGCCCCTAGCCCGTGGTGTCCTGCTTCCAGGGCAGGCCGGGGCAGAGGGTGTCCACAGGACACCCACCACCCAGCCCTTTGAGACCCAAGCCTGTGACTTTGCCCCGTAGCTCTCCTTCCGGGGGCCCACTTAGGCCCGGTGGTCAGCAGGTCTTCAGAGGGTCACATGGGAACCCCACCTCTGTAGAGCAGAGGGACACTGGGCTCCTCTGGGTGCCTCCCAGGCCCTGGAGAGGCCCCTGTGACCCCTGCGGGGGTTTTCCTAGCCACCTTGCCCTCTGTGCCCCACCCACCACTTTTTGTGGGGACTCCCTTCCTATCAGGTGAATCTCAGGGAAGAGCCCTGAGGCCAGCCGCCTGTGTCCACCTCACTAACCCGGCCCAGTGCTGCCCGTGCCCGTCCTGGGCCTCACGAGGTGCTCTACTTACTCAAGCACGGAGAGCGTGGCCGCATGGGGGTGGTAGCGGTACAGGAGCAGGGTCTGGTCCACCCGGAGGACCCTGCCCCCCTTCCTGAGGTGCTGGTAGAAGAACAGCAGGTCCTCCGGCACGCCCTGTGGGGAGAGGACCGGCAGCCCAGCCAGGCATGTGCTGAGCGGGACTCGGGCGCTGCTGACAGCCTGCAGCCGGGGCCGGGCGATGGCGGTGGCCCAGGGAGGCCAGGAGCTGGGGGGCGGGGGGGCGGCGTGAACACCCCCAGCTGGGCAGAGGGCCTGAGACACGGCCTCGAGGCCAGGTGGCTGGGACGCCCAAGGCTGCTGCAGCGAGGGGCCTGGGAACAGGACCGCAGGCCCTGGGGACACTCGGCTTCCCCACAGTCGCAGACCCAGAGCCTGGAGCAGAGGTGGCTGAGGGTCCCCGAGCCCAGCCATGCTCCCTCAGCACACAGTGGGGAAGGGGGTTCGGCTCAGAACCGACCCACAGGGAGGGTGGGTGTCAGAGCAGAGAGAAGGTGGCAGGTGGGGCTGGCCCGGCTCCTGTCTGGGGTGGTGTCCAGGCAGAGGGAGGCCATGATGGGCAGCAGGGCCCCTCCCGGCTCTGTGCAGCCCTGCACTTCCACGCAGGGCTCTCAACTGGAGCCGGAAGCTGCGAGACTCCAGGGGCTGTGGACGCTGCTCACAGGAGACTGGTGAAGGCCACTTCCCAACCCTGCCCCAGGCCTCGCTTTCCACACTCACCTGCCCACCCTCGTCAAATGGACCCACGTGGGAAAACCAGGCTCGTGAGCAGAACCAAGTGGGCATGATCACTGTGGGGCCGTTGGCGGTGAACACCTAGTGTTGGTGGGAGACAGCAGGTGGTCACAACAGGGAGCAACAGGGACACTTGTCCGTCCCCTGGGTGGCAGCACGGAGGGCAGAGAGGAAGACGAGCCCCCCCACCCCAGCTTCCCTGCCAACTCTGCCAGAGGCTTACAGAACTAGCCCCAGATTCAGCAAGAGGAGGGGGACACCCGAGGCCAAGAGGTCCCACGGCACAGGAGGAAAGGCCCCTAAGTCACACCCACAAGGACCGATGGCCAGGCCGATGGCAGCGGCCTTCTGTAGCAGAGCCCAACCCGAAGCAGCCAGAATGCCAGCACGGCGGCCCCCGTAGGACTGTCCCAGGAACAGCGTGGACCAATGCCACTAGAGCAGCACTCCCAGCCACCAGGTGCTCACAGGACAACCGGGCACCAGGCCCAGCTGGCCGAGTCCTACCCCGTGAGCATTCAGAGGGCACCCCCAGCTCTGTGCCCACGCTGGGCCTGGGCATTGCGACATCGGGGCCGTGTTGTGGCAGGGAAGCACCCTGCTCAGCCTCGTGGCCCCTGCTGCCCACACTCCACGGCAGCAGAAAACTACAGCTCTCACAACCCCCCACTGTATCCCATTGGCCATCACCAAAAAAACGACTTAACGCTGACATTTGGAAACCATTCCAAAGCAAAAATGAAGCTTCCCGTTTTCAACTTTGATTCACTGAGAAGCCCTGTGGCACTCGGGGACAGGTGTGCTCTGCAGCTGGGCACCTGCTGTTTAGGACTTGCCCAGGGAGTGGGCAGCCCACTCAGCACCACTGGACCCACCCACCCATGGGTGGCAGTGGCCATGGGAACCGAGGCAGGTCCCCACCAGGTCACGTGTGGATCACGTGTCAGACCACGTGTTGGATCTGTGTCACATTGAGTAATGTGTAATTCATCTGCTGCGTTCACCTCTTAAATTCTGCTTCTAAATCTTATTTAAAACTTTTTTTTGGTGTGTCATGCTAGGGACTGAACCCAGGGTGCGTGACTTCTGAGCCACATCTCCAACCATTGCGATGTTTCGAGGCAGGGTCACACCAAGTTGCTCAGGCTGGCCTTGAACTTGTGCTCCTCCTGCCTCAGCTCCTGAGTAGCTGGGATGGCAGAAGTGGGCCACCGTGTCGGGCTCTGTTAAAAACTTTGAGACTGCATTTTGATTTGCACATATTTCTACTAGGTAGAGTCACATCTCTCTGCCAAGCAACTTGGTCTGTTCTTCAGGGACGTGACCGTGAGTGTGGGGAAAGATGGGGTAGCCTTGCAAGGAAGGGGGCACAGTGAGCAGAGAAGCAGGGCTTCCAGGGGCTAAGGGCTGGGCCTGCGGCCAGCACGGAGCCTCCCGAGCTGGTGTGTGGGGGGCAACTGCTGCTCCTGCCTTCCACGGAGAAGTGGGCCTCGGAGGAAGCCGGGAGGGAGACCACGCCATGGGGCCCGGCAGGGCTGGGCCTGGGGAGGCTGGGGGTTCCCGAACCATCACGGGGCACAGTGGCTTTGTGCCCTGGAGAGGCCCCAAGGACCGGTGGCTCCCAGGGCTCTGAGCCTGCATGGGGACACCCTGGGGAGAAGGTAGCTGTGCTCACAGCTTGGAGAACAGTAGAACCGGAACCCACGGGAGGCAGACAGCGTCACCACTGCAGTGAGCCACCAGCAGGACTATCCTGGCAGGGGAGCAGAACTATGGTCTAATCCGCCAGTGACCATGCATTGCGATGCAGTGGCCAGAACAGAAGTGACCTAGTCAGCCCCCACGGCCCACTCACCACAGCAGACCAGTGGAAGGTCAGTCAGAGTGAAACAGTGTCCACTTTATGCCTTGAATGTAGCCCTTGCTGCTTGGCATTGAAACTCATTTTTTTTATTTATTTGTTCGAATCAGTTGTACCTGAGCTGTGGGCACAGGAGCCCACGTCCAGAACCCTCCCACTCCACGTCTTCTGGGTGCCATTGCCCTCCCACCTCCTGCTCCTCTCGGGTGTAGCTGCAGCCTGGGCCTCACTACGCGGGGACTCTGGCCCTCACTTCCTGTGCTGGATGTCGCAGGGCCTTTGGACCGCACGCTCTCACCTGGCCTTCTGGGGGTGTCTCTGCATCATTCCAGCTGATTCACTTCTCCACCAAACCCACCAGGCCAGACTGTCAGATCAGCCATGCTGGGAAGCAGGGTCCCTGGTACCCCATCCTCGGCATGGACCAGAGGTGGCCCCCAGGAGCACAAGGCACTAAGCCGAGAGCACACCCCAGGCCCACGCGAGGCAGGCCAGGCAGCTGCTCAGGGTTCGTGGCACCGTCTCCACTTCAGAGAGGAGGCCCAGCTGCCACCTCCACCCAGCACAGCCAGAGACGCCCAACGCACCAGAGAGGAAACCACGCAGCAGCCACACAGCTGCTCTCAGGGAGAGAGGTCACCGCAGGCAGCAGGTGGCACCGCCCAACACCGCTTGGCCCTGAGATGACGCGAGCAATTCCTCGGAAGCCAGCGGCTACCAAAACAGCTTCATCACGGTCAGCGAGCCACAGAACCTGGACAGTCCCGTGATCTCTAGGGATTCTTCTCACATGTTAGCAGTAAGCAGTGGAAACCAAAACCAAAACGCAATGCTCCAAAGTGCTGAATAAGTGCAGGATGCTGACGGAAGAAGCCCAAGGAGGGCTCGGCACTGTGACACTGTCCGTCCCCAAGCCAACTGACGGGGCCTGAACGTGACACAGCTGACAGCTGGATCCATGTAGGTAGAGGAAAGCCGGAGCAAGACACTGGAATAGTCGGAAGCCACCTTGAGGGGACAGTAGTGGGAGCCCACTGACCAAGGGGGGTGGAGCCCAGGCAGGCAGCAGGGAGGGGCAGACCACGGTGGCCAGCCCTCGCAGCGCGGACGCTCAGGACGTTGGCGACACAACTCCAGCCCAAAGTGAACCGCAGCACAGGTCAAAGCCCAGGACACAAGTCCTTTAGAGGGACACCTAGGGTCAGGCAGAGCAGACCAAGAGGCTACGCCCAGGCACGATCCATTTTAAAAAATCAACAAAACAGACTTCCTCGAAACCACAGACTTTATCCTTTGGAAAACTGTTAGGTGGATGAAAAGAAGCCCCAGATTTATGAGTAGAAAGTACTGCAAATTCCATGTTCAACAAGGGGTTGATGTCAAAAAGGAAACTCTAAAACTCAACTGTAAGAAGACAAAAAAAAAAAAAAAATCAGTTAAAACATGGGCAAGGGGCTGTGGCTCAGTGGTAGAGCACTTGCCTGGCATGTGTGAGGCGCTGAGTTCAATCCTCAGCATCGCATACAAATAAAAAATAAAAAAGTATTGTGTCCATGTAAAACTAACAAAAATACTTTTTAGAAAATGGGCAAGACTTGTACATACACATGATCAAAGGGGACTATGAATGGTGAGTAGGCCCCTGCAGAGATGCTGGAGGGGAGAGCAGGAGGCCCGTGGGACAGGATGCTGCCACCCTGGAAACCAAGATGGTGGCTGTCACAAAGTGGTGCAGGCGCTGGCCAGTGACCCAGCACCTAAACCCCAGGGCATCTGCCTCGACTTGGACCCGTGCTCACACACCACTATCCAAGGCTTGAGCCCCATCTGCCACAGCCCATGTGCAGGCAGGGTGCACAGGTCTCCCACACAGTAGATGCTTGGCATGCACACCGGGTATGGTGGACCCCAGGCCATGCTGACCCTGGGTGCACCGCCTTCCAAAGCACAAAACCAGGGGAAGGGAGCAGATGGTCCAACAGGGGCTAGGGTGGCTGACATCCGAGTGCCGTGTCCCCCAAACTCATGCTGGAGTCCCATGCCGACATCTGACCCCAGGTGATGGGGGTGGAGCCCTGGTGGATGGGGCCTCATGTGCAGGCGCCAGGGCTCTTTGCCCCTCACTGTGTGTGGACCAGAATGCAATGGGGCTGGCCAGACACGGAGTCTGCCAGTCTCCACCCGGGGCTGCCCCTCCAGAGCTGTGCGAGACAAAGGTGGTTGTTCCTAAGCCACCGGTCTGCAGGGGTTTTCACTCAAGCAGTACAACAGGACGGCTGGGAGGACCAGGGGCCAATGGTAGGGGCTTGGGCAACCTTCACGCTGGTGTCCTACACCTGCCACAGTGGAAGTCCCTGCTGCCGCGAGGTCTGGGGCTGTTGGCGTGGTGCAGCGTGGTGTTCTGGGTTTGGTCACTGTGCTGTGGTCACTTGGAAGAGCACCCAGGAACTCTACTATTTTTGCAGCTGCTACCAGGGCTACAGAAGAGCAGGGGCACACAGCAGGGCGGAGTCCCAGGGCTGTGCAGTTCACAGGCTGAAGCTCTCTGCAGTGGGACCGTGTCTGCAGGCGAGGCCTTTCATGAGGTGATGATGGCTCAATGAGGTCACAGGAAGGAACCCTGATCCCACCGGAGGAGAGAAGAGGCGTCCTTACAAGGAAAGGAAGAGGCCACAGAGTGTGCCCAGGAAGGCCAGGCGAGGCACAGAGAGATGGCGCCATCTGCACGCAGAGCCTCAGGAGAAGCAGTACCCCTCTCAGAGGTCCAGCTCAGGACTGAGAAGTGTCTGTCCACTGCGTCCTGTAACTATGGCTGCCTGAGCCAGAGTCAAGGAGGCAGGGACCCTCTGGGGGCAGCAGGAGCAAGTGTGGAGGGGGGAGAGCGGGCTGAGAGGCACCTCACAACCACTCATGCAGCCCAAGGGAGCCAGACTCAACCCTGGCAGGCACCGGCTAGCCCACCACGCACAAGCTGCTGGGACCCTGGCCCCCTCCCTGTGGCAGGGACCCCCAGCCCCAGGTGCAGAGTGGGGTTCTGACCTGGCCCACTTGGATCCCTCCAGATTCTGGATGACAGGCCCTGGGGAAAGGCACTCAGTGTGAACAGGGTCTGAGGTCAGGGTCTGGATAGCAGGTGTGGGCCACGGGACCCAGGACTCCCACAGGTGACTTGCAGCTCGCGGCAGGAGCGTGACTCAACTCTGAACCCGGGGCTACTGGG